CATTTCAGCTTTACATTTTGCCTCTTCTGGTTGGGGATGGCCCAAACTGGAGCTCAGGTAAAAAATCGGCATATCCACCTCTGCTCATCTGCTCGTCCCCAAATACAAGCCAGTTGTTGTAACAGTGCTTCTTTCGCGAGCAATTCTTGACACCCGAAGCCGGCGCGGAGAAAACCCAAGGCCAATGATGTCCGACCCAGGTCGTATCAAACGCCAGTCCCTCTGTTGAATTTCCTACAGCTCGTTTCAACGATGCTTCTTGACCTGCAGAAAATTCGGCTTTTTGCTGGTGAAAAGATGGAACACAAAGGAAACCCACAAGGGCGAAAGGGCGAAAGCAGGTTTTAGGCAGGCAATGCTTCATGGGCGCTGAACTCGCTTTTTTCTGGGTAGCTGGGGGTCTAGGTATACATTTGTCCTACCCAAAATGGGAAGGAATGGAAAAGTGGAAAATTGAGCAAAGAACACGCCTCTCTTGGATGTGAAACCGGCAATTCCGACCCCCGGCCTTCATAAACACCTCCCCGTTCAAAGGATCCACCACGTCCTCGGTCTTCTTGGATGACATCCATTTGCCACCGCCTGAATGAGGCGGTTGTTGCGTCAGCAAACGCATAGCTGGGTCGGTCCATATATGCGCTGGGTGGCCTTTTCTTGGGCCAGCTTCATACCTCCACCCGAAAATAGCCGCCACTTCAGCGAAAACCTGCCAGTTTGTCCGGTCCAGAAAAAGGAGCCCCACACCCAGCTCCTTGCTCCTGATCCGTCCCAACAAGAGGTGGCCCCAGTGCAAATTGCGAAGCCGGATACATATAAATCACAGGAGTGGACAAGAACAACACACTACTCCCGAGCCCCACTCCACCTGACTGAAGGCCTCGGGCTGACACAGTTCCGCCTCAAGAGACTTTCAAGTGGGTTACAGGGTGAAGTGGGTCAAGTGGGTGGGGAGTAAAACACACTTGTTTTTTGCGAGTAAACAACTTGTCTTTTTGTTTTGCGCTGAATCATCTACGCAGCTTGGTATGCACGCACACGGCCCGTTCAAATCTCTGCCCATTTGATGTGAACGCCACGTGCCAGACGCAGTTTTTGCTTTCTGCGAAGATTGGCTTGGCAAAAAGGCAGCCAGACTCATTTTTGCACTGTGATGCTCAGGAGAGCTTGTCCCCAAAAGGATCTTTCGTACAAGTAAAAAAGTTTGAGTCACTCGAAGGGGGTCAAACATCTGGCTTTCCGGTTCCTTATTGGATCCTGCCGCCTTGCGCCTTGGGGGAGGGGGGGGCCTGAAGGATACCGCAAACAAAAATCACAACCCCCCCCCCCCCTAGAATTATCCAAAAATCAACCCCTCTACCCCATATTTGCCCCTTAAATATCATCCCATTTGGAGATTCACGCCAGATTCAACCGAAGAGGAAGCCAGAGGGGGTTGGCAAAGTCGGGTCGAAGCGGACACGCTTACCTAACGCCCAGGGAGAACCCAACCCTGTTCCTGAAACATCCCCAAGCTTCTTATGATTGGCACAAGACGAGGATTTGCGGCTGGTCCGACAAAACCAACAAACGGGATTTTATGCGGCCCTGGACGTGGATGCAAACCCTGCACATTGAAAGCGGACAAAAAATATAAGCAAACAAAAAAGAGGGAAAGGAAGAGGGGGGAGGGGGGAAATCTGAACAACCTTAGTTCCTTTGCAACTGGACACATAGGATGGTCGATTCTAAAGCTGAACAATGTGTCAAGACAAAACCAACTCATAAGAGACCCCAATTTGCGTGGATTGTCTAAACAAGAAGCACCAAAATGGTCTTCCCAAAAAGTTTAAAGTCCGGGAACTCGGGAAATGAGTAATTAGGGACTGGCGGAAGAGATGAACAGCTTGTGGACCCAAGCTTGGCTTTGGAGAAGAAGTGATCAGCTTCTGACTCCCCCCTAACTGACCTGCGTTCAAAAACCGGACTCGACTTGCTCCCAAGCTCGTGTTAAAATCGTGTGGATAGCACGGGTCCACCAGACTTAACGCATTGAGTCTCCGCCGATCTTGCACCGGGCAGTGCGGTAATCGGGCAGTGCCACGCAAGCGTGTCCAACAAGTCAGTCGGGTCTCGCTTACCTTAAAAGAAACTCAAAAGAGATCGTTCCAGTTAGCGTGGCAAAGGAACACAAAAAAATGACATGTGGATTCTATAGGACCCCCCCTTTACTACTTTGTATTGTCAGGGTTTGTGGCGCTGCCCATGTAAACAAAGACGCAACCAACGACGAAAAGATCTCCAGCTTCGACAAACCCCGACCCCGACGAAACTAAAACCGAGGGGCAAAGGTTGAGGCCCTCGGCAGGCTTCGCCCCGGACATGGTCTCTGGGTCCACCTGAACTTCCCACTTTTGGGGCTGCCGTGTTGTTTGGGGCGACCAACCTGTTTTGGTGGCTTTAAAGGGAAACCGCAAGAACTTCCAGGTGTTGGGGATTGGTTCTTTTTTGGGGCAACCCTTTTTGGGCGGAACTTCGGAACAAAACAACAGCAAGGAAAGCCACCCATCTTTGTTTCGGGCGGGGGGGCGAGGGTGACCACTGTTTTTGGTTGTTATAGGGTCCTCGCAAGAACGACACACCAACTTGGCAATGAATCTAAAGACCTGGCACAGGGTGCCCAATTAAAACTCAAACCGTTGCAGGAACCAAACCTTGCTGGGGCGCAATTTGTGAGGGGTTTGACACACTAAAATCAACGCTGGACTAGGTAAGAGGTAAGCATGTCACTACAATGAAGTCCGCAAAGGTCCAGGCAACATGCTTGCCATGCACGAGCTGCAGCTCCTACGCAAAGAGGCATCGTGAAGTCCGCTGGGGCAGTGATCTGAAACAGAGTCTTCAAGGGGTGTCCTTGTTGCGGGGGATGTTTCCAGTGTGAGGTTTGGATCGTCCTGGCAGCCGGCTTCAACTCGTCCCAAAAAGTTGAGTCCGGCTGAGGGAGTAGGGGTACCAACTCCAAACAGTACAAAGTCCAAGAACTCAGCTCGGCGCAGGTAGTCTCTCCTTTTTCCACCTGGGATGGCTCTTAAATCCTGGTGATGGGCAAAACAAGTCCAAGATTGTTTACTACGACATGACACTTAATGGTCATACCTGAAAGTATGAAGTTCAGGAACTCAAAGAATCAGGGCTCCCATTTCTTGGCTGTGGGTCAAAAACAATGGTACCATTTTGGGGTAGGTGCCCCACCCATTTTGGTCTAGTTCAGCCTCTTCACCTCGAGGCCGTTTTTACGTGGCGCTTCCCCGGCGCTCCATCGATCGGTCGAGCCGCGGTGGCCCAGCTGGGCGCGAAGCGCCGCAGAGCGCAGGCCGGCGCGGCCAGTGGCCGCAGCACCTGGCTGGACTTAAGCTTCCCCATTCTTTAGTGGGCTGTCCTCAGATCCCCGCGAAAAGTTTTACTTTTAGTAGGTTAAATGGAAATCCCCACTAAACAATAAAAGGCTTCAAGGCTAAGGGGATGGCTGGGAGCCACCAAGGAAATCCAGGGATCCTTCTTTATAGAAACCATCAAAAACCCGGATGAAACAGCTGGTTTTTGAAAGGAACGATGGTTCAAAAGAACGGGGAAGAACAGCCTAGGTCAATACCTACCCACCATCACACATGCAAGTCTGAAAGCTGCCGCAAATCACCCTGCAAAAAGTTTAAGTTGTTGTGGGTCCAATGGAAAGCCTGGGGTTTCCCAAACAGTTAAGGTCCAAAGATCCAACCAAAGAGCCATGAAGCATACAGTCCCCCTTTGCAAAAGGAAGGTAAGATCTTCCAGAAGCGGGGTGACCACTTCCACGTTTATTGGGAGGGTGGGATGGGGTGCACTGCCAGCTCCAGTAATAATATGAGTGACGGTGTTGCACTTCATATAACGCTGGGCTGAAACCAAAGCACCAAAGGCGTCCCCTTGGAACGTCAACCGCCGAGTGTAGGTTATATAGGGATAGCACCAAAAGGAAATCGGCAACAACAAAGGCAACCTTTGGCCAAGGGTGAGAGGGGCCTGGTGGGACACGATTTGCAGAGCTAGTGGTCACCCTACGCCTATTTGGGGTGCAATTCCCCAAGCCAGCAATCCAAACCACAAATTAGAGGCTACTGAGGTGGTGCGTTTTCGCGCTCGCGCACTGCCCTTTCGAGGATCAAACAAATAAAGGCTTGGTCAATCCTCAAGCCTGGCAGGAAAATTGTCTATAGGAACGAAATACTTGTGTAGCCAAGGATCGAGGAGTGGCCCCGCAAGCGGTAAAAGAACGACCCAAGGTGACTTATGCATGGAAAACAACAGAATCGGACAACTGAAAGAACACAATGGCATGAGAGTAAGCTGGAATATTGAGCTAGTCTTAATAGTTTTTAGAGAACGCGAACAAAGGGCCAAAAAGGTCAAACCATTCGTTGACTGGTTTAGTATCTCTTGACTTGTTCATCTCGACACCAATTAAAGGCAGTCTTCCCCGGGTTGGAACTCGTCCTTCCAGGGCATACCGCCTTCTGAGGTACCCTCCCAGCAAGCTATGAACCTGACTGGAGGCCCCTAGACCATGTGCATCTTGAAGCTGATTGCTGGACTCCACGGAACTTTGTCAATCTGTGATCCCTTGCAAGGTGTAACTTTTGGTGGGGTGATCTCACTGAACTCTGCAAACCTCAGAACGGCCAACCGCTGAGAACCACGGGAATGAAGGCTGGTCTCTGGGGCTGTCATTTGGAACCAGGTGGTCTTGGACACGGTCTCCGCAATTTCCTCTGTTTTTAGCTACACACCCCTTCAAACATCAATCCACCAAAGGGAAACTCCTTTAAACATACCCTCACTTGCAACCAGTTTGGACATATTCATGTTTCAGGTGATCTCCTTTTGGGTTGCCACTAAAAAGGGACGAGGCGAAACGCAAAGGTCAATCCGGTCGATTCGCCTTGGTTGCAAGAGAGACCCTAATATAGTTACACCCCCTAGCAAACGTCAACCGCAATAGTAGCAAACTCCGCACAATCGCCACAACATGGCGGGGTTCTCACCATCTAAGGGAAACATGCGAGGCTTGTTCAAGCCTTGGGACGGAAAAAACAAATTGGAGAGTCAGCCGACAAACAGCTACCCATGTTGAAGGGCAACCATTTGTCCAATGAAGCAAAGTTGACGCAAAGGATACATCCAAAACTCTGCTTGAGGAGTCGGATCCTGGAAGCCAGCTGGCGGATATACTGTTCTTGACTAGCCCGAATGCATCCTTTAACTCCGAGAAAGGTCACAAAAACAGATCAAACCAACCTGCTCTAGGCTTGCTTTTGGCTTGCCCAACCCGTCGCACAAAACAGCCCAAGGCTCAGAATCGGCATTCCGTCCACGCAGCCCTACTTGCACAGGGTAACCCTTTAAAGGGCTCGAGTCACCCGCCAGGCCTTGGTGCCAATCTTCGAAGAGCAAGCCGCGAGCATGATGCCAACCCTAAACTTCCTTTGAAGCCAAACGTCTGCAGGTCAGGCACAACGATTCGGACAAGTGAGTGAGACGAATGCACAACATGGCCCAAATATGGACCCCTTGAAAGTCCCAGTGGGAATTCAGCACAATCGGCTCTTCAAGAAGACATGTTCCACTGACGGACCTGATCAAAAACTCCAAATAGAAGTTTGTTTCGGGTATGCCCCGCATGTTGAACACTTCCACAGGTTGATGCCTCATGTCCTGTCTCCCGCTCGGCCATAGGCCCATAGTACCGAAAGTGTCACAGCTCACTGACCTGTCAGTGAAAGTTAATAGATTCAACAATATGTCCTTTAGAAGCTTTGTACGGAAGCCCGGGACCTCTATTGGACTCTAAAACCCGGGTCACACTTGCAATAGGAGTAGATCTGGCCAGTTGACTGGACTCAATCCGATGTGCGACTTCGCCGCGTTTTGAGGCGCTGCCTCGTACCGAATGAATGGAGTTTGAAGCACATAAAAAGACAACACTGGGCCCTGGAAATCTTAGGAACTTGGGTTCCGCGAGTCCTTAAGGTCGAGTCCTTAAGGTAACCAGGTAGCCAGGGCACCCCAACACAAGGCCCGCCTCTAATGAGCTCTCGCTCATTTTGTCGGCAAGCCAAGGAGTGAAAGGGGCAATGGGGGAACTTTTTCTCAAGTGCTTGGACCCAAGGCCCCGGAGCGCAACCGGGGGCCATATACCAAAAACCAGACGTGCCCAAACAAAATAAACGAATACCGAACAAAACCACGACCAGGCAACAAAAACAGACCGCCGAATCCCCCCCCACCGCCAGAAAGAAAAAGGACGAAAACACAACCTGGAGTCTCCATGACCCTTGAAAGTAGGGTCATTACCCCAAATTAAGGGGTCATGACCCCTTTTTTCCAAGTCATGGAGACTCTAGGAACATAAGCCCGGATTGGTTGAAATTCCATCTCTCGGATCCTCCGAATCCAGGCTGGCGAAGGCAGAAGCGTCCACGGCATAGGGCGACAAGCCTTCCGAGTGCTTCCGAGTGCTTGTCCAACGCCCGGTCGCTAAACTCACTTGCCCAAAAGACCCAGAAACAAAAGGTGATTTGTTTGGGACTGTTTCTAAAAATGGACCATAATGGAAAACCAAAAGGTTGCAAGGTTGGCTTTGGGCAACTGAGCAAAGCGACTTGTTGGAATAGAGAAACGGGACGATGTTGTGTGGGTGGTGTTTTGTTTGGGAGGGATATACTGTATACTGCACGATTTCGTATTAGACTTGGGTGATAGGGTGGACCCAACTGGTAGGTGAAACCCAATTTGGTTTCCAAATACGGCAACCTAAAAAGCGTAGCCCTAAAACACACTGGGCCCCCAAGTTGGAAAGCCCACCAGAGGTTGGAGAAAACCGGAAGGACAGGGGGGGGGGGGGCGCGGCAAACCCAAAGCTGAGCAAAACCGATCTTCCACCGCTTCCACTGGGTGTTGGACTCGTCTTCGGGCATGACTCGAAGTAATGCTGACAGTTTTCCCCAAGTACTCAGTGTGGGATTGTGGTTCACAACAGCACGTGAAGCCTGAGAGCCGAAAGCGAAGTTTGGATCTGGCCTTCTGTGTTTGCAAGGCCACGCTTAGAGGATGCGATCTTGCTCTGCGCTTTGGGCACGTTGAAGTGCGAAAAAGTGCCCACGGCAGTTGTACGAATTTTGCCCCCCCGTTCTCTTTAAAACAGACTGAGACTAGCAGATATTACCAGTGCAAGGTGGTCCTTTGATCGAATCTGCTCCAAGCCTGGCGTATCTTCAAGAGGAGTAAGCAACAAACTGCAAAGTTGGACGAAACATCCCAGGTAAGTACCCCAACCCCAAACCGCAATGGTACGGGCCTGGTGGCTTCAGGGACCCCAAGAAGCAAGCAGTCTTCCCAGATTTCCCGCATCACATGCGGGAAAAAGCTGAAGACTGGAGGTCTTGACTGTGCCAGGCAAATTCCATGCAACTGCATTTCATGCTAAAAGCTAACACCATTGAGTGGGATAAGGCATGAATCAATCGAAACTCAAGATGATGACCGAAGGAAGCACCAAATGTAAAACGAATCCTTCCTCCACGAGCATTTGCGGCATTGGCGAAGCCCAAAGCCCCACGCCATGCTTATACCCAACCCGAACGCCTCCCTTGCAGAAGCAGTAGGCCAGCAGCCTCTCCTCGGTGCTTTTCAGTGGGGAAGCTGTGGGTGTTGTAGGGTTTTGTCGCAAAGGCCGAAAGTTTCATTCCTGCGCGGCTTCCTCTAGAGAAATCTATATGTCAACTTGTACGCCTCATTCAGCAGCTGAGGAAATCTGGAACGTCCTTATGATCTAATTCTTCAACCTCACAGGAGGGAATGAGTTTCAACATCCCAGGGCCAAAACGGCAAATCCGGGCATTGGTTTCGCAAAAAACGTGGACGAGTGAGGTTGAGGAGCGAGCAAAACACGATTAAGCTTTGGATTTTGAGGTTTCTTCGACCCGCAAGCCAAACCACGAATCCAAGCCGCCGAACAGGGGAAAGGCTGTGTCCTATGATCACTCTGGGAACACTCGACCGGGCTTTGCCCCGAACACATTTCGGAATTTGCGGGAACCGAAAGGTCCAGCAAGTTGGGGCGCAACCACTACGCCCAGCTTCCGATAGCTTGCCGTAAGCCACTACCATTTCCTCAGTTGCAGCCAGTTTTGACCTGCAACTAACAGGTGATCACCTTTTAGGGCCAGTACTTAAAAATGGGCCAAGCATGGGAAGGTGAAAGGTCAACAGGTCAAAATCGCTTTGGGCAAGTGAGTTTACGAACTGGACGCAAGGCATTCCCATGTGAAGAGTCCCACCGCTCCGCTTCAGCTTGAGAAGGAGGGCCCCACACCGCTCCGCCGGAAAGGTTTTAGCAAGGCTCTACGAACCTCTGGGCTGAGGAATCAAGTTGGACTCGAGGTTCTTGGCCCCTTTAGCTTAACCAAGAAGATTCTGTTTCGCCAGACCGCCAGTGGTCATTCAAGTAAGGGGCGCCCTTTTGCCTTGACTTTCGTGGGACACCTCCAAGCACCGATTGCAACCAGCCGAAATCTCGGGCGCCTTCTGGGCGCCCGAACGCACAGCGGCCACACGCGGCGGTCAAAGTTTGGGGTGCGCCAGACCAAGATCTCTGTGCACGCGGAGATGAAAAGCCTCGGAGTTCCGAGAGATCTGCAGATTCGAGGATGCCAAGGATGAAAGGGATCCCTAAGAAGTGAAAGGCACTCATCAGAAGTAACGGCCTACTTTCGAATAAACTCTTGAAAGTTGAGCCGGCATAATGGTTTCCTTTACCGCTCAGCTACAACCGGGACTCAGGGGCAAACTGTGCATGTACCCTCTAAACTTGAAACAGTGGCTATGTGGGGGTAGCTGTTGGGGGGTGCTCTTTAACGGCATAAGAATCACCAACGAGGCGGATCGGATTGTTTACGTTCAAGGTTCAAGCATGGGAAAAGGACAACCTCGAACATGTGTTTGCAAGCCTTTCGTCAGAACAAACACGCTCGCATGTATCCGACGAGGTTTCCAACGATAGGCACAAGTGGGGTTGCCCTTGCGTATGAATCACTGGGATGCTCATGATCGGACGCCAAAGCCCGAACAACCAGGGCCGACAGGGAACCGTCAATCTGGCAACTAATTACACATGTCAAAGCTTTAGCCTAGATTTGTCACTGAGGATCACGCTGGAAGCTGCCGGATCCACCAAGAAACCCGGACAAGGGCTTGAATCGCAGTCCATGAGATTGCGGCCGAAATCTAAAAATGGAAGCGACCCCCCAAACTGTAACTCTTTGAGAACCGCTCAAAACCTTCCAAAGCGCACCTCATCGCTGAGCGAACGCATTTGCTCAAGGGACTGGAGTCGGGGCCGTCGAGCCGCCCCATTTCCCTTCACTCACGTCCGAGGGGCGGGATCGCAGGCAGAGCCGTGTCAGCCTGCCAAAAAAAGACAAAAGAGAGCAGCGAACCGGGGAACCTTCCAACGTCAAACCTTTGAAGCTTTGTTTCTTTGACTTGCCACAACTCCGTTTTAGGAAACCATGATTTGTTTCCAAATGACGCGTATTGACGTGTTTTCCCATTGCAAGCAGCTCTCAAAGGAATCAGGGTTGTTTTGCAATTGACTTCGCAAGCGAGGCCTTGCTGAGAAAAAGGCTCGTGTCCACTTTCATTGTAGGAAAGAGTGTAGTGATTGCCAAGGTTTCCAAAGAAAAACAACATTTTGGGGGCCTACCGGTGACTGTCCGTTGGGCAAAGAGTCCAAGCTTCGGGGTGTCCCGAAAAAGGGTCTTCTGCAAAGTATCGGGTCTGGAACTTATGGCGTGAGTCTGGCGAAGCCCGTGTGCCCAAAGACTTGTTTCATATTCCAAAAACATGCTGGCGAATGAATTGAAGTTGGGAACCCCAAAAGTCGCAGTGACCCTCTGAGATGATCTTCCATCTAGAAATGTTTTTTTTGACCGCAAACGGAAGTAGTCTGTGCACCGAATCTTGTGGCCAAAACGAGCTGAGTAGAGATTTAAAAGGTTGGGTGAGAGCACCGTGGGCGAAGAAAGAATGAGACAGCAGCCGGTTTAGATGGAAAGTTGACAAACAGCCCACAGATAAACTTGACCATAGTGGACCTGAAAAGTCCCAGAAATACATTGCGACGTGCCAATCGCCCGGCCCTTTGAATAATGAAGCAAGCCTGGGAACTGGTCAAGAACGCGGATTATCCTTGCACTGAGCTGCTGTCCAGGTGTTCGGAAGCTGAAAGGTGGACAAAACTTGGAACCCTAGGGTTGGCCATTTTTGTGGAAGCCGTGCAGTGTGCGACAACTGGTGGGTACAGGGCCACCGCCGGCCTCTGCCTCTGACCTTAGCAACGAGCTTCCGCTGGGATTCGGAAGCAGGGTTCAGCTGCCTAATCTTGCCGCTTCGATAGGCAGGAAATGAGGGAATGACCCTTTTGTTCCATCCCCTCTGGTTTCAAAAAAAAAGGAATCCCCAGGCTCATTCCCACACCCTGGGCCATTCCCTACTCAGCACCAGCTGCCGAATTGGCGCTGTAGATTGGCTTCAAGCTTGGGCTTAGTCAAGAAGGGGTTCACATCACGCCACTCCAAAACACCAACTGAGTAGAACGCAAAACCTGCAAGTCAACTTGCTGGTAAGGGCAAAGATGGATGGAAAGCCAACAAAGCCAGAAGTCAACCTACCAATTGGGTCCAAGGACAATGACTCCGGAGTTGGGCTGCTGAGGCTTGATCCTCGGGAAGAGACTCCCTTCTTAGCTGCATAGAAGGAAGATCAGGGGTTGGTTCCGCCCATGGTGCGTGTGCAACACGGGGCAATGCTGGTATTTGCTTGCACCTGACTCACAACACACCCAAAAGCCAATAAACAGCACCACGCGCAGCACCACCCAGAACAATGAGCTTCTGATTTTTCAGGCAATAAAACAGGATGCATGACGACATCAGGGTTGCCGACGTCCATTCAGATGGATCAAGTTCAATCTCCAAGGGGTTGCCAACGGCTCTGATGCCCCCAAGTAGCAACCATAGATCCTGCAGGAACGAACAACCCCCCAGGGGAAAAAACAACAACAACTGGTGACTGGACAAGTGTTGAAGCATATTATCTACAATAAGCTATTCATAAGCCCAAAGAACTTTCATGAGCAAAACGGAAATCCAGCTCTGAGAGGCATCCAGAAGTCACGCGTTCGATGTCTCATGGGGTTAGTACGTGTCTCGCCCGAATGTTGTACCAGTTTTGGACATCCGTTTGAAGGGCATCATGTGTCACTGCAATGGTTGATCGTGCGAGACTTAGAAACAGTCCAACAGCTGCCAGTGTCGTCTGGGAAATTGCAAGTCGGTCCGGCTGGTTTTTCGGGCTTGGAGACGGCCAACTGGAAACCATTTCTTCTGGTTGGCAGATTCCAGAAGGGTTTAGAGGCTGCAATCCGCTGAATTGGGGATTCACACAACATCTAGACTTGTTGTTAACCAAAGGGGAAGTGAGAGGCATATCAAATAGCGCCTTCGTTTTCTTGAAATATAGCTACCAAGTCCCCAACCAGAACTCCTAGTTGCTCCGAAAGGCTCCCTGACCAAAAAACAAAAAAAATATTTGGACACCACCAGGCCCCAGGTCCGTAACAACTCCGAAGGACCAGCCAGAAGGCCAGAACTCGGACTCGGAGCGCGGCAAAAAACGTCAAAAACCGCCGCCCGCTGGCTGCGGCCGGAGGAGCAAACAGGAGCAGTCGATCCAGAAGTAGAGGTGCAACGTCATGCCCTGCTTGGCGGCGCGGTCCTGGCGGAGGAGTTTCTGCTGTTTTCCCGTTTTCCGAAATCCCCTGGCTCAGTTGCTCAGTGACCGGGAACCCTATTTGGGGAAGACCGAATTCTGGGTGGGGCAGCCACCAAAAAACAAGGGAAAAAAGAATTGGTGCCACTGAACAACTGAGCCTACCTTCCGATCGATGGTCTGAAAAGGTTGGCACGGTGCTTGCCACTAACTCTGTCTTACCCACAAGGAAGAGACAACGACAAACAACTTTGGAAGTGACCTGATGACATGGTCTTCCCAAACAGTTTGAAGACCAAACACTCAGTTTGACTGGAGGGCGGCTGTTCCAGAACGCGTTACGCGTGAACTAGATTGTTGAAGAGGTTGTCCCGTCAAAATCAAGTACCCAAGAAGGTGCCGGCTTTTTCCAAAGGCCGGCGGGCTGTTGAAGGTACCACTCCGAAGCACCAATGGCCCTTCCAATTCTCCCTTTTGATATGCGGTACGAGCCTGGTAAACAAGGAGTCCGAACTTTCCTGACCAATCCACTCAGGAAGTGAGGCAGCGGCGGGACACATTTTGTTGAACCACCCATGTTTAGTGTATTTTTCTCATGTTTCACTTACCCGGATCAGCGTGGAGCCAAGACGACGTAGGTACCAACGCGTTAAGCAAGTTGCCAACTAGTTAAAATATGTGATGGGTAAAGCAATTCGCTTGGCAGCCTTGTCACTCGATTTAGACAGCCCCGCCAAGGCATGTCAAGCAACCCCACATTACGACAAAAGCTTTCCTTGGTGTCTGCAGCGGATGGGTTCCTCTTGCAGTTTCCCTCCTACCAGCAGCATTTCGGCGTTCCCCACGTGAGCTGTCTCACTTGATTTTGAAAACCAGATGCGAATGCCTCCATTTGACGTAGCCTTTTGGTCCCATCGGCAGAATTGGCAGGCATCAGAACATAATACTGCCCGCCATGATTTTCTTGAATGGTCGATGCCTGGGAAATCTTGCCCAGAGACGGCTTTGAGCAAGTGGCACTGTTGCTTTGACCCCCCAACCAGCCTGCTCCGAAGTCCGAACATATCTGAGCGACCGCACATTTTTGTAGCTGGGGTAAAAAAAGACAAGGAGGCCCTCCCCCCTTTTACTGGTGTCCGAGACGAGCTGCACGAGTGAACGATTTCCCATGCCAAATCCAAACACCCAATTAGGGGCACTCTGGCTTGAGCAAGTAAGCAAAATGGGGTGTGGGGCACAAAAGCGAATCTATCTCATGGGGAGAATGGAGTGCTTAGCCCAAAGAAGAAGCGAGAGACTACTTCCCACGGGGCTTCTAAATATTCAACTGCACCCCGGACATAATTGGCCCAAATTATGGCCTTATTCAAAAGATCTGGGTCGTTCAAAACGGGGTGGGGGGGAGCTCCCCAATCCTAGTCCGTACGCCGCAAAAATTACAAAGAAAACCTTTAAGGGGCCGGCAAAAGGATCTTCAGAACTGCAGTTTGAACGACCCAAGCAAACAGAAACAAGGAACCCCGCGCGACACTCTGAGATGCATCGCATCTGCATCTTTTGCCATCACGTCAAATGAGTCATAATAAAAACCTGGTACTAAAATGGTCCACCCCCAGAACCATGTGAAGAATTAAGACGGCGGCCGCAGCTATTTATGCTTGGCATGATCTTATCACTTTGGATCACTAATCGCTTTCAATCTGCGCACTCAAAAAGGATCGGCTTGGACCGTCCGAGGAATCCTCTATGCATGGATCCCTGAAAGAAAAGGGGAACCAGCCCTGATCAGTATGGTCATCCTTTGCATGAAGCTGACATTCATGCAACATATTAAGAAGCAAGAATCTCAGGATGGAACCCGTGTTTTGCCCTCTGTGCACTCGTGCGGCCATCCGCTATCCGATGTCCGTCCTGAAACCAGGTGCCGAAATCCTGCAATCCTCTCATCTTGCCCTTGGATTGGTTGTCCTGCGCGAAATGTGCGCGGCCCGTCCGAGATCGAAGGTCACAAGTATGAATTTAAGTGTTGGCGGACGCTCTGATCGGCATCATTTACTGATGTTGCATGTCAAACATCCATTTAAGACATGATGCCTGGTTACTCGTAGCTGCCTGCATGCGAACACCAATGAACCAACCATTTGTGAGGTTGTGCCCTATGAATACTCATGGCTGCCTGAAATGTGACGAATGCTCTCATGGCGCACAAGCGCGGAAGAACCCCGAAATGGAACATCGCAGGGCAGAACCAAAAAAGGCCGATGCATCGGCTGAAAATGGAGAAAACCATCTTCAAGACTTAAACCCTTGAGGCCCTTGAGTGTTCCCACTCCAAAAGGAAACAGGGTCCTGCTTGATTGTCCTCCTGATTTGAAGTGGAGCAACTGAACAAAAACTGACAATTCGCACAACAACAATAAGCACACGCCTATGTAAGGAACCTTCATCATGATTTACTCCGTGCATTCCCAAAATGCCCCACTCAGCCGGCAAACCCCGATCCTGCAGCCATCACAACAAGCACATTGCTCGTGTTTCTCCCTGCCAGCCCCTGCCCCTCGACCACCGCCCCCCTCCCCCCCAAAAAAGAAAGAAAGAAAGAAAGAAAGAAAGAAAGAAAGAAATAAATAAATAAATAAATAAATAAATAATATAGTATGTTTCCGCGTGCAAGTGTTTAGCCGCATTGACAAGGGCTTGCTTGCCCTGCACGAGATGACACCTTACAGAGAAAGCTGTTGAAACAGCTGGCATCTGTTGAATTCACAAACTGCGGTTGTTTGCCTCGAAGATGATCCAGTGCAAAACCTGAAAATAAAATAACACCACAAAACCTTTCACAATTATGACTGGCCTTCCGTGCGCCAAACAATCAAGCGTAAGAAGCTGAAGCACCAACAGCACACCCGTTGCAGGGATGGCTGTTTGGACCGCTGGCATTCCGTTTCTAAGCTTATCCAGGCATTTGTTCGCCTCGGCCAGTGAGGATCAGCAGAGGCAGAGGTAAGCCGGTCTCTCCGAAAATCCAAGGGAAAGGAGGGTGGGGGCCGGGGTTCGAGCTATTTTCGCAAAAGGCGAACTTGAATTCTGAGTTCTATGGAATTCCGGGGTCACCCCCTTCTATCCCACCTAAGGGGGTGGAGAGCCAAGTCGTGGGGAAAAGGGGGAACACATCTCCTTCTGACTCTGAAGACCCCAGAAACCTCAGTTCCCTCTGATGGCAGTTTGGAGCTTTCCCCGGGTGAGTTTCCCATCAAAGCCCCAACGCACCAACCCAAACCAAGATTGGGGCCTGAGAAACAGTCTAAGGGGCGAGTCCTCGCCGGTGTGGGACACGTAGACCTCAGCCAGAAGCCGTAAAATCCAGGCATTACCGGGAATACGAGCGGTCCAGGCGGTGGGACCAAAATATTGATCCGGGTTGATCCTACGCTCAGTTGCAACCTGCTTGGACCTGGAACCCAAAGGCGATCACCTTTTGGGTCGCCACAAAAAAAAGGTCCACATTCCATGAAACCCCTTTGGTGTATGGAGGTCGGCCATTTCCCCGACGGCTGCCATACTAAAAGTACAGCACCGCTGACTCCCGAGGGGAACAAACAATTTGCCAACCGGGGGATGATCCCAATTGTCAGGAAACCCTTTATGGTTTGGAGAACCCTGTTTCTTGTTGAGGGCAAATGGGAAACCACCCGCCTCCAATTCCATTGGAGCCTAACCACAGTCCACAGTCCTTGTTCTGGTTGGTAATATTCTTAATAATCCGCTGCAACTTGTGCGTCGACGCAGTATATGATGGAGCATGGGAAATCTATGCAACCCATTTTTTGCACTCTACAAGTCGTACAATCTAATCCGACAACCATTTCGGATTAGGTATTGAAAAAACTAGACCAATTATTTAGGGGGAAGCTGTTCTGGTCGAGTTGCTTTGTGCCGAGAAAGCACGCGGCTCAAGAGGGGCCCCCCAAATCAGAACGTCCCGGGCTCTGCTGTGTAACTGCGAGACCTTGCAGCCCCCACTCGCCCAAAACAACAACTACAACTACACCCAAAAAGCCAAAACGAGCAGAACAGCAAACACGTAAACAAATCAGATTGAAGTGCATGGGCTATCAAACTTTGGGAAAAGGGAACCACCCTCCTGAGGCCAAAGGGGTCAAAACTGCCGAACAAGCTAACCAAAGCGCAAACCACATCGAAGGCAGAAGTCAATTTGAAGGGGGATGCTAGTTTCCGTGGCTTCTGGTAAACAGCCTCCAGAAGAGTACCGTCTCAAAACCAAGTGCACCAAGGAGCTTCCATTTGGAGACATGCTCAACTCAAAGTGAGAGTTAAACCAAATCCTCACATGCCGGGCAATTGTCCCGGCAAAAGCCAGAGCCAAAACCATTTCTGGGGTACCTCCAGCCCTGCCAAAAAAAAGGCTCCCGTTCTTTGGCGATTAAGATTAAGGATAAAATGGGTGACTTAAGACAAGAACCCGAAGAACATGATGGTTGTTGCTTTTGTTTTCGTTTTTAAACGACCCGGTATCAGCTTCCCGCCCAATCGGTGGGTTTGGATGAGCGGTTTAGAGCTTAGGGCCTTGTTTCCCATGAAGCGTCGACACAAGCCAAGGGGCTGCGAATTCAATTCCAGCCAACTCCAAACCAACTGTTGGTAACGTTACCTGGCAAAAAATGCTCGCCAAATCTCCACGAAAATGTCACACGCCACCACCCAGCATGCAAGCATGCATGGCGAAGCAGGGCTGGCACCCTCCTAGCACCAAAAACCGCAAAAAACCAGCAACAAGCGCTAAACAAAACCGCCGAAAACCGCCAAAAACAAGCAACAAACGGACAACAAAATGCCAAACACATGCCAAACAAACGGCCAAAAACCGTGAAACAGCCCTGGCAACACACCCAACGATCCAAGGCGCCAGGACCAGTTTCGCCTTGGCGCCCTCAGCTTTCGCCAAGGCCTCCTGGCAATCCTCGGGTGAGGGACCCCCTGGCCCCAGAAGAAAACCGGATGGTTTTTCCGATGGGTACGGAAGAAAAACGCCTTGAGACACAACGCCGGTGGCTCTATGTGACTATTTGGGTGTGCTGATTTTGGGGGAATCCGACATTTCCCCAAAGAAAACATGTCTGAGGGGTTTACGAGACCCAAGACAAGCCAAATGAGGCCGAATAAGTGCTGTGGAAGGGGCCAGGCGCCTGTCGGGCTCGATATTTCACAGCCACGGTCTTCCGAAACGGTGACGCGGGAGTCGGGGGGACAAACCAACACAAGTTCCAAATGCAGCCAAAGGACCTGCAAGACAGAAAGCCACTCGGTTGCTTTAGGGCAGATTTGGACCGCAGAAAGTCAACATTGTACATTGTGCTGGTTAAACGGGAAACATAAGGAAAACCAACAAGGCAACATGTCAAAAAGGCAAGTTGAATGTCCACCTATGATCAGTAAATACCCGCCGAATAACGCTAAGACAACCCCCAAACTAGATGATAAAACACGCACAAGTAAAACCTAGTTTGCGTGTCCCTAAATGGGTTGCTGACAATCCCCAACCCTATTTTTTGACCCTGTCCACAATTTACGGGCGTCAAGATTCAGGACGATTTAATTGAACATATTCTCACAAAAACAACTCGTTAAACAATCAGCCAAGCATACCCCCCCAAAAGGTCATCCGCACAAAATACATCACACCCTAAAGCTAAGAGTGTGTGGCTTCTAAACATATTTTGCCCCGGGACGACATGTTCGGGCGCCACAGAGCTTTGGTGCCCAACTCCAGCTTAAACTGCCTTCGCTCAAGTCCAGTACCTGCCAAGCAACAAGCATGGAATTTCAAAGCCCGCTACTGTGGAAGACAAATATGCCAAATGGCAACGGCTCATCTACATTTCCACCTATGGTGTGGGTGTGTGTGGTTGACACCCGCGTCAAGTGCCTGGTCGGGTTCCCACTCCAAATCGTCCCACGAGCGATACGAGCGACCGAAGCCGCAAAAAGGATCCTTTGCTGGGTTCGTAGCAGCAGTAAAAGAAAAACAACACATAGAGAAAAACAATCTAAACAATGCATTTCTCTCTATGTGGGTGTGTGTTGTACCAGTAGGGGCCACGCCGGTGGGCGGAAGTCTTAAACTTATCAGAACTCTAGTTATCTTTCTATTTCTTGCTGTTCTCGCTTGTCTTCTTCATGTTCTCGTCTTTTTTCGCTCTGCTGTCCATTTCCCCATTCGTCCATCCATCTATCTCATCTTACCTTTGGTCTATCTGTGTGCCTGTCTATCTCACTCATCTATCCAACCATCCAACCATTCATCCATCTATCTACATACCTATCTATCCAACTGCCTGCTGTTGCCTGCTCTCTCTCTCTCTGCCTCTTTCTCTCCCTCTCTCTATCTATCCAACCATCTATTTGTCGAAAGCGCTGCCGGCCTAGACCATGTGAAAAAAATGCACACGACGCGCCTGCTACGTGACATTGCAAATGTGCTGCGCCTCCCGTGAAATCTGTGGGTGTCTGACCTTGCGAAAGTGCTGCGCTTGCTGTACGCCACAAGATCTTTAAATTGCCTGACCTTGCGAAACTGCTGCGCCTGGCACTGCCGCACAATCTGCGTCCGCGCGGTCCGGCTGAGAACGCGCTCGAAAGCGCCTGGATCAGGCGTCGTGATCAGGCTAACTTTCGTGCATCCAGGAACCAAAGTTTGCAAAAGGCTGTTTTTTTTTGAACACGGCTACTCCCCCCACACACACACGCACATATTTTTCTCGTCTGCTTATTCTCTTCTGGTCTTCTGTCAGAGAGATAGCCTGAAAAGGCAAGTGCCTTCTCAACCTCTTGTGATGCAATGTGAGTTAAACAACGAAAAACCGCCACATTCGGCCGAGTCGATTTGCAAGTCAGACGGGCTCAGTTCCCAACACAATCAGTGACCCCAGAATTGGTGCCATTCTTCGTGTTGGGGCTGATTGCGCGCAGACGGATCTAGAGGGCAAGGAACTCCACAGCTTCAGGCGCCCCATGTTGAAATAGACCCTCAACCAACCCCACCCAAGGAAAGAAAGACCCATTTTTCCTTTCCAGCAAATAAAGCAACGTTGAGCGCTTCACTCGCACAGCCCCGTGTGGAAAACTACATACTGACTCAGTCAGGCTGACATCTGAGCCGCGGCTTCGCCCAGAACACCCTTGCCCACTGCAGGCAGATTTTGCGTTTTGTATCTACATTGACTATATAGACAAAAACAAGTTCCGGGCCCTGGCTTCCGCCTGTCTTGTGTCCAAATCAGTGCGCCAAGCGGCCAGCAACGGACTCTCCGGGCCGTCCTGGCCAAAGAACACCGCTGGACCAAAGCTGCGCCCAGCTCAGGAACTGGAACCCTCTCTGGGGTTCAAGTGGGCAACTTGTTAAATGCGCCCTTGTTCTTTACGTAGCTACTTAGGGCCTACTTCCGACCGGAAGGTTAAAAGAACTTAGCCGAAACTAGTGGAACCCATCTATGTTCAAAAAAACTCACCGACAAGTAAAACAACACTGGCTTTTCTCACTCTTTTGGAAAACCGATAGCCCCTAGTAGTTTTTAACTTTTTGGGGTTCCCACTTTGGCCGCTTCAGGCTGCTATCGCTACGTGGTCTCGCCGATTGGCCCAAACTTTAAGGGGCACTGAGACAGTTGGGCAATCTCATTGGGGCACACGCTCACCTGAATGTGAACATTGTTTAAATCGAAATGCTGGACTTGTCCCCATGCAAGGTGTCCAGAGTGAGATGGCAAAGTTGGCACCTGCCAAAGTGCATGTCCAACACGGCTGGAGGTGAAACAGGAAGTCTTCACAAAACTGGGCTTGTTGAGTGGTCAAAAGCCACTCTTAACAGCATGTTTCGCTTGCGGTCACAGGGGAAACTTCAGACCTCCCCCCCCCCACCCCCTGCCTTGGAAAATATTTTTGCCGTAGGGAACCAAACCGTTTATTGTCTTTCGGGTGGTCTTGCTGGAACCTGGGGCACTTTCGACATGTTTGTGGTCCACGTGGTTGTTTCGAGAAACAATTGACAAACTTGCATGTGGCCCTGGAAAGCAAGGAGCTTCAGCTTCAGGTAAAATGTTACGGACAACCCTTCGTCTGAAGGCGCGAAATGTGAGAGCCGTTCGTCAGCGTTTTCCCAGGAAGTAACCCGCGCCACCGGTGCCTCGCACTTAGGCAGCTGCGTCAAACCATTCTCCGCAGGCAGCAGCCGGAACTTGGCCTCGGTTGGCACAACACCAAAAACCAACGAAACGAAAATAACACAGCTTCCCGCAGGCGCATGACCTGCCATCCGAGAACCGGGCCCCAGTTGCTTCTTGGATGAGGCTGGCTTTCACCTGAGCAGACAAGCAGTGGGCGACTGGAAGCTCATTGGAAGGAGCGCAACTTGGATAAGCGGCGCTGGGCTTCACACGCGACGCAAAACAGTGGTAACTTCGCGGTGCCTTGGGCTTCAAATCTCGTGCCGATCAGACGCTCAGCGACAAACAACGGGTTGCTGAAAAAGCGCGGCAGCTGCTGGGAGAACTGAGGGGCCTGCAAGCACATATGAGTGGGCGTGGCTTTAAAAATGCGCTAACATGTCGTTACGGGATTTTCGATTGAGTTCGCGATTGTTCGTTCCTTGGGAAGCTCATGCGCGCTAGCGCAACCCTAGCGCGAAACCTCATGGGCAATTTTCTCCCAGTTGTCCACGGTCCCTGCTAGCTGACTCCATAACTCCAGCTTGGCGAAGCAGCAGACCGCTAACACAGCATAGCCGCAGCCAGGCTGACTCGAGAGAGCAACTCACCAGAGCCCACCACCTTTTTCAGTGCGTGGCGCCCAGGTGCTGCAAACAACTGTGCACGTGGAAGACTTCCATTTGGCGTGTTTTCCAGGAAGCGACACGTAGTGGTCGTGAACAACTCTCAGCATTCAAGTCCTTTCTGAGGGTGGTTCCTGGTGGTTCCTGTGCTTTCATAAGAAAAGGGAGCAGCACCACGTATTTTGTAGTGTCCAGGGATTCTGTGGCAATCAGTGTTACCTTTCAAGGATTTGAGCTTGTGAGAAATAGGACTGTGTCTCATGTGTTGGGTTCCGCTTGGTCCGGCCCTCAACGCTCAATCGGCCGCAGCACAACAGGCCTCAGCCCCGCGAGGGGAGTTGTATTGGACCTCCCCCTCCCCGATGCTCTCAGAAAACTGGATGCCAAATGGACGGGACTTAGATCCGACAACAAGAAAAGGTCATTGATTGAAGATCGAAAGGTACAAGTCACAAGTCCTCTAACCCTTGTTTAAACAGATGGTGCTGCCCCGCTCCACGTTGTGGTGCCTAAATGCACTCAATGCCTTTGCTTTCCAAGTCCTCTGGCCCCTCTCCAAGCCCTACGTACGCGAGCCACGAGCTTTTCTGCAGGCGCCCACAAACAATTGAGCGCGCCCAAAAACTAAAACAGAAAGATTAGCCACTATTGTCTGCACCTCCATTAATATTATTGCGAAGGCGGGCGGGCAACGCGAATTCCATGAGCCTTCCACACAACAGACTACATGGATCTGAAGGGGTCAACCCTCCCTTCAATTCCATGTTCTAAGGGTGGATGCTCAAACCAACATCTGTTCGAAGCCCTTGAGCCCTGCTTTTTGTGATTGAAGCGACAACAGAACACAGAACACAACACAATCAGATCGACTATGGTGATACTTAACGCGACTGGTCAAAGGCTGAGCTGAACTTAACAACTCTAGGCTTTGTTTCATCCTCATCGGCTCACAGGGATTTTGCTTGGTTTTCGATCTGAAAAGCCTTTGCACAACGAAGAGGCGCGGTTTGTTTTTTGGGGTAGGGTATCAAACAACTTGTTTACCAATCAAAACAGCTTTTCAGAAAATCAACCAACACTTTTACAGTAGTCAAACACAACTTCTTCACTCAGCGAGGTAGCGAGAGGAGGACAATCATAGCAACACCTAAGGCCAAGCAAGCAAAGGCCCAATGATGAAGCAACCGAGAACTTCTAGACTTCAAGGGCCCAAGGACTACGGCACTGAACGAGCACCCGAAAAAACGAGAGGACCAAGGGACCGGGAAATCAAAAAACCCAGCGATGGGGACGGGACGAGACGAGGGGACGAGACGAGGGGACGAGACGAGGGGACGAGACGAGGGGACCGAAGGACCAAGAAACTCGGGGTCCATGGGACAAGAGGGAAAAAACAACACCACTCGTGTTTTGTTAAGTTTACGGTCGGCTTTCGGTGGGTTCGTGCTGGTTTGAGGGTCTTAGGGTAGACTTACGGTGGGTTTCGGGCAGGCTTACATCAGCTTTAGGGCAGGGGGGTTGTTTAGGGTCGTTAGGGCGGGTTTCTCGGAGCAGTATCAAGACACCCGTGGAGCAAGTACAAGTGAATGAATAAGTGAATAAATGAACAAATCAAAACATGAATCAAGGAATCAATCATGAATGCATGCTGCATGCCACTGCCCCGCCCACTAAACAAGCAGGCAGGAAGGAAGGCAGGCAGGCAGGCAGGCAGGAAGGCTCAACCCTCCAACCAACCAACCTGGTGGCCAAGGGACCAAAAGGCGCGGACCAAAGGACCAGCGAACCAAAGCACCAGAAAAGGCCCCGGACCAAAGGACCAACAGACCAAGGGACCACCAGCAAGAGACCACAAGTCTACAAGCAATACAAAGGGATTATGGAAAGCTTTGGGTTGATTGTTAACATAGGTTTTTGTTTGATGCCCACAAGCTTCTTGTTCAGAACCTTTCATAACACCAAACACCGCACCACATACGTCAAAATGGGGAGGGCCCAACAAGTTCTTCCGGTTTACTTGTAAACCTGGTACAAACTTGGCCTGGCGGGAAATCCCGAGATCACCTTTGGGATTTGTGTGCTTTTGGGCACACCGAAACAACGCAACACACACAGAGAAAAACAAAAATATAAACCAGCCTGACAAAGCCATGTACCCTCAACAAACACACACACACACACACAGAAACCTCTCTTTGTTGGTTTTACACATCCCGTTGTGGGCCCGTTAAAGGTGTGCCCTGTCGAGTGATGTTCGCTGAGGGTTCGGGCTGCTAAGCTCTTCTTCCGGAAGGATGGGTCCGCCAGCAAAGCCTCAGCTCCGATGCTAAGGTGAGACGTTCGTCTTCTATGTTGCTCCCCTACACATTGACATGTAACCCCAAAAAGAGCGTCCCGTTTTAAGGCGAGTCCCACGGTTTCTGGAATGGGCTCCCATCGAAAATCTGCAGGAGTGTACCTTGGAACTAAACGACCCAGGCGTGGTCCCAGTTGGTCCGGATATCTATTTGAGGGGGTCTCCCCAGGTGTGCCACATCAATCCGAAGCTCACCTTCAGCAAAGGGAGGTAAGAACGATCACCCTAAACCCCAAAAAACTCAGCACAAGGAAATTCTCTAGTTGGCTCTTGCCCTGCCAAGAAGCTCAAGCTCTGGTTTCCGCATCGCTATGGTGGGGTTTAAAACGAACCGTCTAACATGAGCCTCTAAACAGGGAGAATGAGGAGCCAACAAAAAGCCTTTAGCCTCCTGCTGGTTTTAAGCAAACACGCGCACACACGCATACACATTTCAAGCAACAAATCAAAGAGTTCAAGGATTGAACCAATTAGCAGCCAAACCTCAGCGCAGTCTATCTGCAAATGTTTGCCTTTCCTCATGACCTTTCGGCGCTTTCATCATATACACTATTTGCAAGAGACTCCAATTTGCAACATGTAGAATGCTTTCAACACCTAAAATAAGAGTTGGATTCTCAGCAAAACATCATTAGATTGTTTTACCACCTAGATCTGTGAGCTCAACAGAATACAGGCAGTTCCCATCGTTTGATAGAAACCCGACATGGGAAGTTGCACAGAGATACCGGCAATGTGCCATAGAACCATTGGAAAGAAACACGGCATTAGTCCAACCTTCCAGTGTTTTTTTGCCAAGGCCATTTGCCTTGTTCTTCATTGTTATTTTATTTATCTATTTTTTGGGGGGTAAACAACAAGTATGGGTCACCAGGGTTCAGGTATCCCCACAACGAGCCTGGTGTTTGCGTCCTGGCAATGTCTACGTCTTTGAGTTCCGTCCCAAAGGCTCTCCTGTAAGCATCTCCCGTATCTCAGGGCCTCATGATTCACAACTGGGGATATCGAGCAGTGAGCATTGCGCCATTTTCCTCCCATCCAAACAGGGGCTCCGGGCAGGGCTAAGACTGGCTCTTCAAATTTGGTTTCCAATCAAACCGGGGTCCATGGATGACGCCACTCAAGTTGCAAACAGCCTGCAAACGAAACTCGTGTTTGCTCGCGGCTATCTTGTGTTGCCCTTGTGGGGGTGGAAGCCCTCGTAATAGAGCTTGTGCCTTTCCATTTGCCGGGTGCCATTGTTGGACACAAAACCTAAGGAGGCCCATACAATTATGTTTCAAACTTAGAGGGCATCGCTTGGCCCTTGACTCGACATTCCTTTGCACTGGGGGTAGTTGTTGCCTCTTACTCTTCCCTTTTCTCTTATTTCCCGCAATGTTCCTGTTTTTGCGTTGTTGCCTTGAGCAAAAGTGGCTTACTAACAATGGCCCCAATAGGGTGTGCCCTTAAAGTTTTAAAGGGTCAAGTCTTCACAGGGCCCCTCGGGTCCACCCTTGTAACCAACTGATAGTCGTTGTTTAAAGGCTTTCGGCAAACCATAAGAAAACGGGCCGGGGTGCAACCCAATAGGCAACAGGGCCATTGAACGTGCTTGTGCTTGAGCCATTCTTCATGGGGCATAGCATCATATCTTTATCTCTCGCAGCATAAAAAATGCTTGCCACTTCTACTTTTGCAGTTGGAAGGCATCAAAACCCTGGGCTGCTTCCCGACTCTGTCGTGTGGAAGAGGTGACGTGAGCTCAGTCTCCTAGTGCCACCTGCCGTGATAGAAATCGAACTGGAGCTCGTTTTGTTTAAGAGGCTGGCCAGTGCGGGAAGCCAAAGCTGAACAACTGCCCACTCCAAATACCCGTTTGTTTTGGCTATGATGTCGATGGCCAAAAAACGGAGAAACTTTTTTGCCTAGGATACAACCGGGCTTATCCCAAGAAAGGGTAGTTGGAGTACCCGCCTTGGCTGCTGTTAACCCCTCTGCAAAGATTTTTTTCCAACTTGTTGTTGGTTTCCTCTGAAAAATCCCAGCTGTTTCAACCAAAAGTTGTTCAGTCCAAAGATCCGCTACCAAATACCCACAAAGACCCTTTTTCTTCTAAACCCCAAGAAGAAGGGTGGGCACCTGGCTCCCCAGTTGCCGTATTTTCCAGCTACTTCTGCCAAATGATGGGCTACTAGTTGGTAAAGTGGCTACCTGGGGATCCAGGTACTTGGAGTAGCTCCCCGATCCGCTCGCAAGCCAAGCAAGGCAAGCCGGCCGCCCGCTTCTCTCGCAGCGGTCCACCGGGCTTCCGTGCCAACGCGTCGCTGCGGCAAACCGCCCGCGCCGCAGAGCTCTGCAGAGCTTCGCCCAGCGCCTTCGAGAAGCTGAGCGTGGCGAGTGGTGCTCAAGGGCTGGATTCTCAGTTCAGTGACCCTGGAACAAAAAGGGAACCCTGGGGAAGACCATAGTGGGGCAGCCACCACCAAAAAGGGAGAAAGAGCTTTTCAAAACCAGCTGTTTTTTAAGGGGTTTGGGCGGTTTGGTAGAAACAAATGATGCCTGGGCGTAGAATGGGGAATGTACTCTAGAGTAGCAGGAAGTCTTCCCGAGTTGGAGAGCCCACGCTTTTTTTTCATGAATCCCTGGAACCAAAAAAAGGGCTGGCCGTGTGCTGGAAACCTGGAGTGGGGCCTGAATCAGTAGGCTAAGGTGGGGTATGGCGGGGGTACTGCAAGCAAGAGGAAGCAGCAGGAATGTCTCCAGGGAATCAGTGTCCTTGGTGGAAGTTTGGCAATTGTCCTGTAGAAGTTCTAATAGTTGGTTTCTATGATAAAGACCAAACTAAGTCATGATCATAAGCCTCCATTTGCTTTCTTGGCCCCTGCATAAAAAGAAGATACGCAAAGCAGTGACAGGTTCTCTTTCTAACCGGTTTCCCGCAGTACCCCACTACAAGAAAATATCAAACCAACTGGGTTGTTTACCCGGTCTGCACAAATGAAACAAGTCTTACCAATCAGCTTGTGGTAGGCGTCTACGGAAGTTTGTTGTGGGCTGGTTTGCCACCAAATGCGTAAGACCTGGATTTGACGTGTCCTGAAATGGAGTTCAGTTTCCCTTTAAAACAAATCTAAAGGGGTGCCCTTTTGAGCGGGCTCTACCCTAGGGTACACTAAAAATGCGGAAAGCTGCAAACACGGTTCATGTGCGTGTCTGTGTGAAGAACTGAATGTGTTTCAGGCTTGGAATTGAACCCTGCAGGTGAGACTCTCACTTCCTGAATAGGTTGGCCAACACCTCTTTTCCGAGTCATGTAAACATCATTTGCCGGTAGGTGGCCAAAACCAACCGCAAAGCAAACGAAGAAGCCAAAAACAGGGCTGTGGGCAACATTTGCTTTCGAGGTTGAAACGCCACTTGTTGGTGGCCTAGGTGGATCAAGCTTCACCTGTGGTGCCTCAAAGGATACGAGGAGCCCTGTCTTTTTCTCAGGATGGGATGTAGAGGCTTGGAGGCTACGTTCCTACCTTGAGTGGTTGAAACACTGAGGCTACATATAGGAAATGACGCTTTGGTACTTTCCTGGGTTCCTTAGAGGACTAGAATACATCCCAAAGCCACCTGCTTTCCAAGGATTTCGTCCTTTTAGGGGCCCTGTTAAAGGTTTGGGTCTTTATTCTTCGCATAAGTCTAGAGGTTGATTCCCCATGCTTTTCAGCCATCGTTCCTTTCAATCACCAGCCATTTCCCCAGGGTTTTGGGTGTTTTTCTAGAAAGAAGGCACCCGGACCGGATTCCTGAAAAGAACGGCAACGCCACCCCTAGAAGAAGGTATGCCGAGCCACGGGTGTGGAAGATTGAGCCCCACTTTGGGATTCTTTGGGTTGAACTCCAGCCACTGCTCCTTCACTTCCGTGGAGTGCCACGAAGTCGAGGCGTGTTTGCTTCGTGATCCCTGGGCCCCATATTGAGGGGACTCAGAGGATCACGTTGTCTCATTCCGTGTGCTATTCAGTCCACTCTGACATGTAAAATCGGATAGGGGGAGACCTGGCGAATCGTGAAATCACCAAACCCGCCAGGTTGATTTCCAAGTCCAACTGGGGCGTGCAATGCCTCTTTTGGACATCAAAAGGGTGCGGTTCCAAACCACAAGTTTGGGATTGCTCTGTGTCTCTTGGACAAAGGACGACAGGAAAAATATGAAATGGAGCAGCGCCCAAAACCCATTGACAGTTCCCTCTAAGATGGTTGCAACGATTTAGCCCTGGAAACCCAGGCAACAACCCCCCCGAAGCCCAGAAGGAATTGTGTGTAGCAACCTGAGAAGATTCGATGAGCTTGTCGCTTCCGTGGTGGAACCCATTTTGGCTGGTAGCTCAAGGGAGGCAACAAAGAACAGCACAACATACACATACATAAATTTTAAATATATATATATATATATACATTATATATATGTAATATTTCTGCCCCCACCTTCACCTGTTCGGGAGGCAGCCCAGGCACCTGGCGAACGCGATGGCCCACCCGATTTTGACCAACCACGTGGCAAAATACTCACCCCGGTGCCCCCCCCCCCAAAAAAAAACAATAAACAAGTTGTCCCATTGGTTTCTCCCTTTGAAACCAATCCAAATATGGCACCTGAAAATTACACCCGACCATACCAAGCTTGTAAAGTTTTAGTCAATACTCCCATTGTTCTTTCAAGATGTAACTCTGCGTTGTGGCGCGCTGGAGAACCAAATTGCCACGCGATCCCGGGAAAATGGGGCGGGTGGGTCCTTTAGATATCAGAAACCAAAAAAAATCAAGGCGCTTTCCTGCAGGAGCCTGACACATCTAAGAGGCTAGACCCCCGACCCCTTAAAGACCCTTGCAAACAGCCGCATGTTTAAGGCCAGAAAACAAGCGGAAGCCTTTGAAACTTCGGGGGCTTGATGTGTTTTCGCTGCCTCGGGACTACTTCAATTCAACCTTCGGTCGGGTTGCGTGATTGGGTTGATTCCTGGAAGGATTAATCCCAGCTGCCTCTACCAAGCAGTTGCACTTGGAAAAAACCCGGACCTGGCTTTCCAACTTTCCAACCTGTTAGTTTGTCCTTTTCTGACCCTTCTATTTTTTAGCATCACAAACAATCAGGTTCTAGGTGTTGTTCAGGGTCCCTCCTGAAGGTGTTGGCTGTCACGTGCTGACAAAGAATGATTCCTCTACACAGTTTCCACTTGCTAGATAGAGGAGTAGCCCTGAAACCAAGTCCTCGACCCCAAAGCAGAAAGTCCAGAAACCGAATGGGGTAAATGGCAGTCACATCTTCTGCATACTTTGGGTGGTGCCCTTGTCGAAACAGACATGGCATTGGTGCAAAACAATGAAACCTATGAACCAAAGCAACAAAAGCAAACTGCCATCTTAAGCCTCCTGGGAAAATACAAAAATGTCCACTAGAAATACATTCCCTTTCAAGCCAACAGGGGAAACAAACAAACAAACATGTTCTCAAGCGATAGAAGGTTGGCTAAACAAACATGAACTTTGTGTTTGCCACAAAAGTAGGCAGAAAGGTGTCAAGTCCAGCCCGAACCACCCCTGAAATCTTAATAGGATATACACGCCCAGCAATCGATGGTGATTTCGCTGCCAGGCCCTCTCCGAGTTGTTTGCGCTCGTAAACGCTTTTGGGGGGAAACATGTCAACCTCTTTGACCCCGGGAAGTCTTCGGCTCCCCGCAAAAAAAGTTCCAGGACACCCCCTACCAAAGCTTTAGCCTGGTCGAAAACTGAACATGAAGCCTGGCAATGCTCAAAACCTCGGTTAGCCTCGATGCCTCCCTTGCCCCTTCCCTTCCCCCTCCCCCCCCCCACCGCTGTAAGGGTCGTGTGAAGCTCGGTGGTAAGCTCCTTCAAAACCTCGGCACGCTCGACATCACCGAGGACTTGGGGGTCGAGCAATCTTCCCGCCCTTCGGCCCCCAAATGCCCGTGAAAAACTTTTCCCATGTGGGACAAAACATATTGTGGTGGTTTTCCAACCAATGGTCCTATGGGACCTTTTGATCCGCCCATATCAACCCTTCAAGACCTGCGTGGGTGCTTGTTTTACCCAGTTGGGTCAGCTTGCCTGTTCCTTACTCCACGACGCATTGCTGGACATAGTGTGAGACGCCATGTTCTTTGCTAAAGATTTCTGTAGGGTTTGTCAGTGACCCACAAAATATCTCCCGCGCCCCACTCACCCCACCAACCCCCGGACTGCCGGCTCAGAGTTTTTTTCAACCAAGCAACTTGACCGAATGCACTTCCCCCTGGAACCTGAAAACTAGCATGAGGTCCTGCGTAGCTCCCCCCCCTCTTAGGCGAGGCCCTTCTTTGGCTGGGGGGGGGGGGGGGGGGGGCGAATCGCGTCCTTTGTTTCGCGTAAACAGTTCTTCGCGAGTCGCGACACCAATCGTGAAGCCCTTTTCTCTCTTGGAAGCTTTGTTAAACTGAAGTGACCCGAAACGTGAAGCAAGAATGGGAATCGGTTCGTTTCGGGCTTGACAAATTTTGCAGGGATCCCATCAAACGCAGGGGGGTCTTAAGGGTCCCATGGGTCCCTGAGGCACTCGCAGGAGCAAGGGGTTGAATGCTGGATTTGCTTCGGTTGGGTCCCAAAGTTCCTGACATTGATACATCCTGCCCGATTCAAGATTTCAAGACTGATGTTTTCCAAATAAAGGCTCAATTGTATGACTGACTGACCCCAAAGTGATGTTTGCACCAGCCGAGGGGAGAAAGCGAGTTGGACCCATTCACAAACGCCTGTGTAAGTGGTAGTGATATACCACCCGCATTCTCAAGAACCCAAGTCAGTGATGTTGACCCGCGCTTGATCATGCCGCGCCTGGGATTTGTGTCCGTCGCGAAAGGTGCCGTGGACAAGCTGGTAGGCATGCTCATCCACACCTAGGCTAGCCATTCCTCATGCGGGTCAC